GTGCTTCAGCAGAGCAGACAATTAATTTCAGTATTTCGCAAAGCAAGAAAGGACCAACTAATCCTCAAAAATGTCATCAAGCGCTTGAAGGTCAGTGAACCTGCCAATAGAAGTTGCTTACTAAAGGCTGAATTTTCACTGGGACACATTTGTCAAATGCCATAAAAAGACCAAGACCTGCATCTCACGATAACTGCAGAAAACCATCTCAGGTAATAGCCGTATCTATTGCAGTGACATCTGGGGTCAGGCTTATTTTCTCACATTTCTATTATTTACGCGTGAGCCTTATCATGAAGAATCAATCTTTATTTTAAGATCACAGAAGCATTTTCTATTTGTCAAACGTTGCAGGAGCCCTGCTGATCAACTGCAATAAAACAATCAACTCCCGACGTGCCTCCGGCACACAGCAAGGCCAAGAATCCACAAAGGCAGGCTGCACGAGCCACTAGGCAGAAAACTGAATGCAATAAACTATCATTTTCCTGAATACTTGCTCAAAATCAGAATGTGAAGTACACACTTTAGGTTCAGCACCTCCAATGGTTCCTACAACAAACCACTGAACCACAGAGGTGAGAAGAGACATTTGCCTTGCCCCAGACTTCCTCTGCCGTACCCCATCTACTCCGATGGCCACTTTGCTCCTTCCCTGGCAGCCATGGTATGGAGTCACACTGCTGCACTGGTAGGGCAGGGGAGAGGGCAGAGGGAAGGATCCAAAAGGATTTTTTTCCTTCATTTTTAAGAAAGCAGATGCTTCCATTTTTCAGAAGGCAGATGTTGATTTGTTGAGGCCAATGTTTTTTGCACAAACACACTGGCTTTGACTGAACTTGTCATGGATACTACTTCCAAGGGCCAGGTAACAACTTCCAGACAAAGTCATGAGATCACTTTGAGAAGAGCTGAAACCAGAGGTTTCCATATCCAATGAGGGGTCTCTAACTACTGAACCAATCTCTTTCTCCAGTGGAAATAAAAGTAAAATAGGTGCAAAAGAAGAGATGGTGAGACACTTGCCCAGGAAGAACAATAATGCAGGGGACACCATCAATGGACAGGAGCCCCAGGTGCTCATTTGATCTTTATTTTTTGCATAGCAGGGAATGAGGTCTCTGCTCCTTGAATTTGGGGGTTGGTTTCTTTTTCTTTTTGAATATCAACTTAACTTCATTGTACTCCCCACTGAACCTTGAAAGACCTTCGGTTATCCAAACTGGACTGTAGGAGCTGAAAAGGATGCTAAAAAAAAACCAGAAAATTTGGTTTGGTTACATTCTGGCTCTGGTCTTGATGTAGGCCTCTTGTGTGCAAGGCAGGAGACTGCAAACTACAACAACCATTTCTGCCTATGACTCCACTTTTCATATTACAAAATGAAGTTTCAACTTCCCTACAGAAACAGCAGGCATCTTGGCACACAAATAATGCAGTAAATCGGTCTTGGGCTCAGTTTCTATCCAAGCTGTCACAGCTTCAAAATGTCAGAAGAAAATCAGTATTTGTACATTAGCCTGACTGTATGTCATCACTGCAGGCATCATGACTGGCAACGTTCTGAGTAGAAGATTCTATTTAAAGGTAATACCAACAGAAAGGGTAGAGTGCCTAGAATTGTGATTCACCAGGGTGGTCAGCCTACCCAGTTATCTGCATGACCTTTTTGACCACAGACACAACAGACACTTGCTTGGGAAAAGTGCTTGGTTTAAACCACATTGATCATACTATTGAAATGTTTGCCACACAGTACCTGAATTATTTATATAAACCACTGACTGGCTCTTACTGCAATATTTACTTCTATCAGTCTCAAGTTAAGTGCACATACCTATTGAATTTCTAAACTTCCCTAAAAATGTTGATTTCTATTGATTTCATAATGTTTTGTGTTAGTTAGATAGTTTATTTTAAATATTTTATAGACTGAAAACAACAGCTCTGCTTAGCAATAAAGTCCACATTAACAAAAAGTGGCAGAAATTCTCTTCACAAGTCCTTGCCTTGCACAGAGATCTTTTAGCACAGAAGCTGTACCTGTAAAAATGTGTATTACAGTGCAGTACCAGAGGTGTAATTCCATACCAGTTTCTTACATAAGCAATAAATCCATTTGAAACTAGATTTTCAAAAATCAACATCATAAAACCATGCTGTTCTGAACATGCCACTGTTTTTAAAGGAAGAGTCAAAATCTAAATAATCAGAATAATCAAAATCTAATTAATCAGAATAAAAATCTAAACCACATAAATTTAAGAATGCAACAGCACAGCTATTTTGTCTATGATCTCCTGTTGATACCACCAAATCCTTGTGACTCATATTCTAAAAGGGAAAAAAAAGCATTCACTTGGGTGTTTCAAAGCAGCAAATCATTAGTCTTCCAAATGTACTTTTGTTAACATTCAGGTGCTTTGACAACTTCCTTACTAACACTTACTGCACTGCACTGCTTTGTACATAAAAAACCCAAGCAGCAAATTTCCACAAGGCTCTTGAATGTTAAGCCATATGCACTAAATAATGTTAAGAAAAAGACATGAAATTCTACTGAATAATTTAACAAAAATGATACCAAGTACGCAATCTGCTGATTCTATTCCACGGAAATCTATATAATCCTCAAAATAGTTTTATACCAAAATTCTGGCAGAAACAGAAATAACCATTAAAACACCTCTACCTCTTTTTCACCAGAAGTAAGTTAATTTTTTCCTTATGTTCAGGGCTTCCTAAGATTATCCAACAGAGGGCTCCCAGTAGCTATTAGAAAGCTTAATTGAGAGACAAATATAGGAACTCTAACATACACACACAAATCAGCATACTGTCATTTTCATAACCCTTTCTTTATGCACATACACATGCACCAATACCCAATTTAGACATTTGTAAAAGCATACAGTAAATCCATCCAGGTAGTGCCTTGTCACAATCTGTATGCTGTTAAAGTACTGTAGCTCAAGATATTTTTCCAAAACACTATTTTTAACTGTGAAAAACAAGTGTGTTTTTAAATTGTCTTTACACAAATTAAGTGACATTTTCATCTTATTTACTTACTCCCACTTCAGGAAAATAGTGAGAGAATCACGTGGAGCAAAGCTGGATTGCTGCTTGAGTATCAGCAAGTGCGAGGCGCAGGGGCAGAGACTGAAGGCTGGACGAGTGCCCACACACATGAAACATTCACTTGCTAAAGCTAATCTGCACCTGACAAAATTCATCTCATCAAGACAAAGATGCAACTGGACCATCTCACCAAGAGGATATTTCAAAATTAGGTTAAACTCTGTTCTCTTTGTTGAGATGACTATAGTGGGGTTGCAGAACGGTAGTTTAGAAATGCTTAAGTAATCAATGTACTTGGTAGATTATGCTCTTCTAACACTCAGATATCTGAGGCTAATAAAACCCATACTTTTCTTTTTTTTTTTTAAGTTTTTGCCAATACAGCAGGAAATCTGAGCTTGCAAAGAGTCTCTGCATATGCTCTTGGGGTTTAGTAAAGACTTCAGCCATCCACTAAACTGTCCTCAGAGTCTGTAACTAAAAGGGTCCTATGTGTACCCTTTACCCAGAGGTCTCCCAGTAATACAATTCCCCTTATCATTTAAAGGCCTTGATCTTAAATATCAAACATCACAATGCATTGTGCCATATCTTCTTTCAGTAACATAACCTGAGATTTCCCATAGGCTACGAAGTTTTTTTGAACTTTTAATTAAGTTCCACAGCCAATACAGTATCATATTGGTGTGTCCTGCCTGATCAAAAAAACCTCACAGCACATTATCTGCTCAAACACAATGCCATCATAAGTTAAAGCTATTGTCCTGCAATAAATTAACATTAGGATTTGATTGCTTTAGTAAGCTATTCACCAGAGATGAATGTAATACAAACTATTGTACAAGAAGCTTTGAAAAAAGTTTTTACGGTATTAAATTACCTCTCTGTATTTATGTAAATTCATTCTGCAACACCTGCAGATGTGCCCAGAACATTAGCCAACGAGGCATATTTTTTTTACTTCTGAGGTTCCATTTGTTTTCCATAATAGCTTTTCAGCTTATCTATGATAATACCGATTTGTTTTCTTGCACACCTTCACAGCTAACCCTGAAAATACATACCTGCACCCTTTTGCACGTGGTACAAAAGCAATCTAATAGATATCCTCCACTGCATGTTGGTGATTAACTCCTCCAAAAGTAATTCTGCACTTCTATAAATGCAGGCTTTACACCACAGTCTTAGCAGGTGAACTCCAGAAGTTCCACTCTGCTGTGTTACACTCCACACGACTAGGTCTGTCCTTCAATTTATAGCAATGCATTTGGTGCTTTCATTCCCCCTGCTTTTATCTGCAGTCACACTGCAAAGCAGGCAGACTTGTAATGCACGTAGATAAAAATGTATGGTATTTGCAACTATATTATGGCAATGCTAAACTCTAAGCAAAATCTTTTTAGAAATTTTGGCACAATACAGAGCTAGAAGCACCCTGCCCTAAGCTGAACTAAGATGAGTTTGACCTTCTTGCATATTCAAGTCTACTTTCAGGACAGGGTGTCTGGGTGCACAGAAGTGTTTGGAAGATACTGCAATTTGATACAATTCTTTAAAAGTAGCCAGCGCTCTCTCCACCTGCTTACACCATCATCAGAGCTGAAGTCCGGATCCGAGGCTCAATTTTTGCATCTGCCCTTGTACTTTGGATACAGTCATTCCCTAAATTAAATTCTAAGTGCCTTTGGCATGAAAGTGTTGAAAACAATCTCTTGCTTCCCTTTCAGCTGGAGATGGAGGTGTACAGGACCTTTGGAAGAAAATGCTAGCATGCAGTATTACATTCCATTTTAAAGATTTGGACTTTCATCATTATGCAGCCATCACTCTACTAATTAAGTCCAAGAGTACACACAATGGGAGTATGGAAGCAGCAGCAGTGTAACAAAAATATTAAGCAAGGTCTAGCCTTTACTTACCACAAGTCTCCATCTTCAATAGTTTTATCATTTGGGGCTCCAGCATGGCCATAGTGTAGAACAGATGAGTTCTCCCCACTGAGAAGTGAAAACAAAATTCAGCATGATGAATGGAAGAAGAAATATGGACATACACAACATAAGGAGGAACACTGTAAACACGTGACATTGTAAACATCAGTGTATTCATATATCACACACAGTTGTGAGTGTCTGTGAGAACTGCCATAGGCCCTGCCCCAGCGTGGGCTGTAGCTTGCTCAGAAGAAATGGGTACAGAATGGGCATTTTGCCTCTCTGCAAGACATGACCTTTCTGCAGAAGGAACTCAGCACAGTTCATGTAAATACTTCCCACATCCAAAACAAGTGTCAAGGAAGCTATTATTCAAGAGCAATTCTTCAACCTATACCCTTTTTTAATTACTAATTTCTATGTTTCTCTATTTGAGGTTAAGCATTCTGAGGCATAAACCCCAAACTTCCACTGGAATCATATCTGACATGTTTGAAACGGTCTAGGAGTCATTTGGAATGGAAAAATTCAGCTGTTCAAGTAAACAGTTCCAGTTCACCTCTGGCATGGCAATGTATGATCTCTGCTGGAGCAGCTACACTGCATGCTGCTCAGGGAACACTCACAGCACACGGTGTCAGCAGCGATAACGTGAGAACTGCCACTCTATTCTCACCTCCTATTTAAAACCACATTACAAGGACTTTTATTCCTGGAAACCTTTCAGACTAACCTGCTGATTCACAGGAATAAAACATCTCCAGAGAAGGATGGACCCCTCTTCTGCACTTCTGAAGCTCCATGATCCATCCAGTGACCTACATTTGTCCTTGGCATCCTCTACGGTCTACTGATATTCCTATGGGTCTATCAAACATCAGTTAAAACTAGTAAAGATCTTGAGCTTTAACCATTTGTCTTTTACTGTTCTCCTCAGTCAGATGCTCTCTCTTTTTCTCTTCAAAAAGCTTGAAGAATTATATCATATTCAAAATACATGTGTTGGGAGAGGGTTATGGTGGCAAATCTCTGACTCTTCCATCTGACCTGCCAGTCTGTGTCTCACCTTTCACCAAAACTGTATTGCTCATCCTGTTCAAATTTGGTTTTTTATTTTTTAGCATATAAGAATCACTATGTAATAAGGCAGTGAAGGACAAGACTCATGGGAAAGATTTTCCAATACAAAATTTTCTGTTACTTCTTGAAATTATGCACACTACAAAGGGAAAAACAAAAGTTGTTAAATCAAGTGTTTAAAAAATGCACAGAACTAAGGCTGCCACAAATTCATTTTGTGATGCTGGTGCAATGGCTTAAGCCCAGTTTTACAACTGGCTACTAGCTGGCTGCGTTTTACTTCCTGGATGTTGTGCAGGTAACTACCAACAGCCCCATGGAGCCTGCACACAAGATGAAGACGGATATGAGCTTCCCTCTGAGATGTCCTGTCTCCCCGGCACTGGTAGAATAGCTCCTTCTGGCCACAACTGCAGTTTTCCATTCCAGCAGACTTTCAAACTGAACTTTTGCTCTGTCTTAGATCTCTAACAGGTCAGTGGACTGCAATCCAAAGGGCTGTCTGTGAGAGGCGCCGAGTGCGGCAGGGACCGCGCTGCCGCCGCAGCCATCTCCTGCCACACGCGGGTGACACAGTGGAGACAGATCCCACCTCCAGCTTGTCAGCCTGAGGAGAGGTGGCCACCATCACTGCCTGCCTCAGAACTGTTTCCCAGGGAGAGAGAGATAGTTTTGGGAGGGACGGCACTTGGCAGCAACTGGAATGACCTTGTTGCTATGTATGACACTGTTTGTGAACCCAGACACTTGGCATTTAAGGAAAAACACCAATAATTACAAAATCCCAACACCTGGCATGCACACACACACACACACACACACACACACACACACACACACACACACTCCACTGCAGTTTGTCAGGATTTTAGCTGCAGATGCTGTTCCTTATCTCCCTCTAAAAATAAGGATAAAACAGGAGAAGCCAATAGCACATGCATATATTTATGATCAAATTTTAAAAATTATCATGAAGCTTAAGGGCATGAGTCCATGCTAACGTATTTGCAGATAGCTTGTTTACTTATCATCATATGCTGGCACCCTTGGTGCCATATACCACACCAGCTGAATAAACAAGTCATATATTCAAATATGAGTGCTGTGCAAAGGCTTTCAACAATAGGCAGTGCAAATACAAAGATGGGGGATTACTTTTGCACATTTTAATGTAAAGGTGTTAGTTTACAAAATATTTCCGTAAGGTTTGGCACCAACTGTTACAGAAAACGCAGGAAAAATCTGTTTTTCAGCACTGTTAGTGAAGCGTTAAGCAGCACACAATATTTCTTGGCATCTGAGACTCCTTATCTGTCACACACATCTTGGCTCTGTCTCGTAAACGGGACGGTACCACAGAGAGCACAGTTGGTGCTGAAGACCAGCTACGTGCACCGTATGCATTCCAGGGTTTTGTCCAATTGAAGTGATTAGGGTGAGGAGGTCTGCACACTTGGGACTGGCTCTGGGCAGGTCCCCCGGCGCTGAACACCCATGAGCAACTGAGGCATAGCAGACCTGTTCCTGAAAGTGCTCCTAGATGTTTTTCACACAGAAGAAATCCAGCAGGTGCACTCCAGGACTAGTCCCTGGCTCTGAGCAAAGCCCTGCAGCTGGGGACAAGTGGGAGATCTTGCTTCAGAAATATTACTAAATCAAATTAAAACACAGGTGTGGACACACCTCCAGTCGGTTCCTGCCAAGAGGTGCAAGCCCAATCTTCCTCACAGGAAGTGTCTTTACCATTTTCAGATGAAGGCAGGAAAGATGCTTTACGAGCAATGCTACAGAAGAGATGCATACCCACAAGGTAAATGCTACAGCCAGCCAGAAACTGTTCATAATGATTCAATTAGACTTTCAAGGTGGCTTCAAAACAATTTAAACAAAACCCCCAGCCACTGGCAAAGCAAATGAGCCTTCCTGTAGAAGCTTTTTCTTTTCTTCCTAGGGAAGAACAGCCAAAAGGTCTGGTACTGGAGCACCAAAGCTGGGGTTTAAAATGAAGCACTGTGGAGAGGTGTGGATCATTGGCAGCTCTGTTGCCTTCCTGGAGGTCAGCACCTCTGAAAACAACCACATGTGGGGACGCCAATGTCTGCCTTCAGGCAGCCAACCTGAAAAACTCTCAAAGAGATTTCTGTGCATCTATTTTTTATTCCACTAATAATCTGCCTCTAACTGGTGCCAAAGTTGTGTTTGTTACAGAAAGAATTGCGTGAAGCGGTAGAAAAGCTGCAAATTAACACCACTGAGAATGCAAACAGTAGGAAGAGATTCAGATTAGTAGAAAAAGGAAAAAAGTCCCCAAAATACATTTTTGATCCTGAAAACAAATCAGGAATTAAAATGAGGAGGAATATCAGCAATATTTTAAGAAGAGAACTAAGCTGAGTATCAAGCACTACTAAGGGTGCACCCCTATATTAAGACCATCTAAAGAAACACCAACAGAGCATTAAGCAAAACAGCAAACTATTTTAATAATGATCTAAATAATAAAACCTATCCAGAAGGAAGCACTAACAGCGTTCTCTCCACTTTTTCATCTAAGAGATGAAATCTCAAAAAGTTGTATTATAAAGAAAGAAAGCCAAATTCTGTAAGCATCCTACTCTAATCCCAAAAGCTTTGCTTACAGTGATCCTTAGAGGAAGGCATTTTACTGCACTGTGTTACTCTTAATCACTAGTGCCATCTGCTGAGAGCTGTCACCTGTCTAGAGGCACGTGTCAAGAAGATTTGAACCTACATCTAAGATGCTGCACTATCAAGCAGCAGCTGACCATGGCTTTGGAGGTGGATGCAGAGACAACGATGCCTTCACCTCCATCTAACTCCAGCTGGAAACTCTGCACCTGGTTACCAGCGGATTCCATCCACCGCAGGGTCACCAGGACGCACTGTGCATGTCATTTAACCTTTGTTTTCCCCTTGGTAAAAATGGGTGCTTGGTACACTATGACACTGCATCATTAGCATTTGAACACTAGTCAGAAGTCAACACTTCATAGATGAGTGCTAATATATCCAGGTACGTTTATCAAGTACTACCACTCTCACTTAACTGCACCTACGTGACGTCTGTTTGCATCTCAGACCACTTACAAGATGACAGTGTTTGAAAGCGTCGTTAACTACAGGACTAATCTTGCTATGGGACGACCTGTGATGATAATATATGTGTGTTGTAATTCCCAACTGGACAGTGAACGCATGCAAGTGGATACATAAAGCATATTTAGTCACACCAAATATTCATTTATCATCTTCTGAGGAGTGTAACAGTGGACAGGGACAGCAACAAATGCACGCACTCAGCGCGTGCCAAGTGAATTATTTCTGTACCAAGTAGAGTATTGATTATGCTTCATTTCCAGCTTAGTGAGCATCTTTTCTAAAGTCTGAATAACAAACTTGGTTTTAATTTAAAAGTATGATTCTCTTCTATGGAAATTATTATCAGGCATGTAATCTAAAAAGCAAAAACCCTGTCAAAATATCAGTTTTGTCACAAAAACAACAAAACTCAGCATGAATAGAATAAAACAAAACTAGTCAAAAATCCTAACCGCAAAATCTATTTTTCATCATAAATGTAGCTAAGTGTAATATTTACAATACATGACACTGTTATGGTAATAAAAAATGCCTATTATTTTTGCCGTTATTACATTAATTGAATTCTTTAAATAGTTCTACTTACATTCATTTTATTAGGACCTATCTTAAAACTGTTAATATTATTCATTCTTACTTCATCACTCATAGTCAGAATATAGCAGTTTATGGGCAAAGGCCTTTGTATTCTATCTTACCTATTTTTTTTTTAAATGGAGTCTGTCTGCACTTTTAATTGTAGTGGTGTGGTGCAATGCCAGCTCCCAGCTACAACCGTGAGTCACAGTATCGTTGGGATCCTGCATTGCAAGGGCAGCCTTCCTCCATGTATTAAATACTCCAGTGGTTCAAAGGCAGCTCAAACCCCACACCTCTGCTCTGCTAAGCCCCTCCAGCATGATGCAATGGGGACATCCAGGAAGCGCCTGTCATCACCCACTTCTGAACCACCATTGGGGCTTTCCTCCTCCTGGGTTCCCTGAGTCATGTAACCCAAGTCCTGGGTTTTTAAGTCCCGTGAAGAATTTAGTCTGTTCCCACACATGCCCACAGTAGATGTTCCGATAGGTCAAGGCCATTGATGTTCTCTAGCATTCAAACCAGATCCTGCAGCACAGGTTCTTATTTACTGCAAGTGACTGTGAAGTCTGTAAGACTGTGAAAAACCATACACTTGGAAAACTTGATTTTATCACCACAGCCTGTGACAATACTATAAAGATGGAGTCTAGTTTCAATGGGATGCTAATTCTCAAGTTATACTATGGTGCTTAAACCCAGAAACTTTTCAGACAATTTAGATGCACAATTTGCCATAAAACTGCTCATGCTCCTGCTGCAATTTTGCATATAAATTGGAAAACTGCATTTACAAATAAGCAGTTGAGTAAACAGCAGAAAGAAGCAAAGATGCTAACTGTCCTTATTGCCTCCAAAGCAATATAACATTGGCATTAATGTAAACATTAGTTTTTGTAAATGTGACTTCGGTGTAGGGCAAATGTTTGTGAGTAGCAGCAGACCTACAAGTCGAATGTATACACCAACATATATGCCTCATCTAACTGTCATGTATCTCCGATTAGATTAATTCCACTAAGTAAGATTAATCTCTCCACAAAGCACACAGCTGTCCTTCAACACATACCCTGCACTATTTTCTTCAAATTCTGCAAATTAAAAATACACATTTCTGCAACTGCAGGGAGAACTTTTCTAACACTTTCCCAAATGCAATACCTTCAACACTAGCTGTTCAGCAAGAAAAAAAGAGAGAAAAAAAATTTTCCACTTTCCAAAAAGTTTCATCTAATCACATCCTAACCTTTGAGGCAAAGAATTGTAAGAATTATATTAAATACTTAGGATGTATTTCACAGAGAGCATTTTTGAGCAACAGAGAATAGCTCTAAAGCCCTTTTGCATAACACTATTTAATAAAAAAGGCAACTGCAGCACAGATGCGAGCATAAACATGATCTTGGCAGCAGCAGCAGCCACTGGGGAATCTACGGAGTGCAGCAGACTCTGTAACCGAGTTATTTCTTTAAGACACAGCACTAGCCATCTTCCTTTGGCTTTTCCATAGGAAGCAGATCAAACTCACTCTGGTGGTACTTGCAAAGACATCATGTGCCTAAAAGGAATAATTTTATACATATCCAGTGGGCAACTGACCATAAAGATTGCAAAGGTTCAGTACAAGCCATCGACCTACCTGCCACAGATGCACGTGTAGGAAGTGTGGCGCATGCCACCTCGAGCGTAGCAGTAGTGCTGGAACAGGCTGCAAAGAAAGAAAGGTGGTAATTAATAATATATTCAAACCCACAACAAGACAGGGAGAAAAGCAAGTCTTGCTTGAGTACAGCTGTGTTGGTGCAAATCCCCAGCTCCCTGATGAGGCTCTCTGCCCATTTCTGCTCAGCTGAGCGCTTAAATTCACCCCCATCCACAGCTCACTAGTCCTGTGGAGCGGCACGCGATCTCCACAAAGCCCATTAGGCAGCTCTGCAGCGAAGAGGGGCTCAAGTGCAGCTTGGTAACTTGAAATAGCAAATTGCTTTCCACTACAACTCAACACAGAATGGCAAATTCGTTGGCATAAAGCAGTTCAGCTGACCATAGAACGACTGGGACGGTAACAGTTAAACGCTGAAGCTGGCCCAGCTCTCCAAAGCAGAGTTGAGAACAGCACTTCTTGCTGCATTTCAAGTACACAATCACATCCACAATCCTTATTTTCAATCCTGCTGCCTTCAGTCTGCATTGTGCAGATTCTGCAAAGGTGAAGTCCAACCAACCTCTCCCGGGGAAGGGGCTCACCAGAGAGAGCAAAACTCTTTCTTCACAATAATTTCAGCAGAAGCTCTCTCATTTTTACCACCTCACTGGTACTCTCTGTTAAAAGCTGAACTAAATATCTGCATATGTGTGAAGCCTGACTTGCATCTGACTGTGCTGTACACCCTCCTCTCCAGACAAGCCAGCAGAGCTCTCCCATCACAACAAGCCAGGCACCTCCTGCTAGTGTCACAGCCCATGCTGGAATAGATGGGCTCACGTTTTCTTGTCTGTGGCACAACAGACACAAAGAAAACGTAAGAGTGTTCCATTTCAGACTGTGGCACTTAAATACCTGTGATCTTCCCCTGCCCAAACATGGGAAGAAAATTAATGCAGGATTAATCCCAACAGCAAGAAGATAATGTGGTAACACTAGGCTGCGTTCTCAACAACCTATAAAGAACATTACAGCACAACATTGCTTGCTTTTGGGGAAGGGGAAGGGGAGCTCTGAGCTCCCCAGCAGTACTCCTCTTGCACTGCCAGCCTGCTGGAGGAGCTGTTTGGCCTTAAAAGCATTAACACGTTTTCATCTTCACTGTCAAGGTCCCCTTCACATGAGGGCAGATGTGCCCAAAGCACAATTAATATAGGATTAGGTGCTTTAAGAGCTAAGCACATATCATGGATCCCTTTATTCTTTTTGAAATATGCTCTAATTACAATCCAATTCCCTTTAATACTGAAAGAATTTAAAAAACTAATTTGTTGTAATACTGAAATAATTTCATTAACAGAGGATAATGGTGTCATTCAAAGAATAGAGATGTTGTGATTTTGTCCTTTTGCAGCAGCAATACACAGAACAGAATTCAAATTCTTTGAAGGATATTAAAGACATTACACACTTGTAAATACAAACCAGATTTAAAAATTTCACTAAAAGACAGTATTTAAAGAGAAACAAACCCAAACATACAAATTAATCACACAAGGAAAAAGAAAAGCCTACATTTAGAGACTTAGCAGGGAGACTTGGTTTATAAGATCTCTTTTCTGCTCATAATGCTCTGGTTTTACAAAGTAGAAATACCAATTTTTGCATTGCCCTAGAAACTAGTAATGGAAAGAGTAGGTCAAATGAGAGAAGCTAAGGAGAAACTCTGAAGCGGTGAGAGCACAGCAGAGAGATCACTAAATTGAGCTAATGAAATTTATCACCTAAACTGTCATTTGCTCTGATGCAAACATTTTTTCACCAAATGGACATTTCATATGGAAGCAAAGTTACAGATCTGCTCTTCCCTGGCATGCTTGTAGGCAAGGCTTACTCTGCAAGATGCTACACTATGCACAAATATTTTACACAATAACATATTATACTGTTATATATGTATAGCTAGATTTTAAGAAGCAACTTTTAGGGTATCTATGGACACTTCACTGTAAATGACTGAAGTAAACTAATCTCCTCTAGACAGCAACTTTCAGTAACCTTCTAAAAAGCTTTAAAAATGAGATAATGAAGGTTGTAAACATCTTTTGATCATCGGTGATGCAGGGTTTATTTTTCTGTATGACAATTGATCACATATTCATGGTTGCAATTTATATGAAACTGCACAGCCAAGTAGTAGTATTCACATTTTGCAGTATTCCCTGATTAGCAGTAAAATGTGATAAGTAAATTAAGACATGCCTTGTATAATCCAACTGTTGCCTGAACTTTATTGCTGTTTTCTAAAAAAGTAACCTGACGATCAAACATTATGGACTTTTCTTTTAAGAGTAAGTAAGAAGTGGTTGTTTATGTGACTGAGCTGAAGACAGTCCATCTCTGCCAGGTAATGAGTTTTATGCTAGCAAAACCACTCACACTACTTTTTAAAATTTACTTTATCATGCTATGACTATTAAAAACATATTCATTCAGTTGGAAAAAACTTCCATTTCTATCACAGACAGCCGACATCCTTGTAGGACATGTTCTAGCTAACTGAAGGATTGCTTAATACCAAGTGTTGGCTTTTCAAAGCTGAAAAATGTATACATAGAATTAGAGAAGCCACCAGTACTTTGTAGTTAAAATCCAGGTTCCACTGGAGTTAATGTAGATTCTGCCACGAGACTTCACACCAGGATTTCACTGTCTAGACACTGCAAGAGTCTTTTTCCAAAAGTGTGATACAAAAGGATAAAGTCTGAAATAGCTGGATGGAATATCATTTAATTTGGGACTCCACATACATTGCAAATCCCACATCATAAACTCCACCTGGCCTTTCTGATTGGAGACATGGATTTAGGCAGTTTTACGTTGGTGCTGGATGCTTTTAATGCAACCAACACAGATACAGAAGTTAAGCATCTCTTTCTCTTCTTCTTCCGTGGGTTTCAAAGCCTCCTGTCATGTTTTATGCAGTATTTCCTTGGAGGGTTTACGTATTACTTACTATGCACGTGCTACCTTGGTGGTGTATACAGATCAGCCACTGGTGTATTTGCATGTCAGATGTTACTTTTCAAATGCATGCAGCTTTGTTTGAGGTGGCATGTGGGTTTGCATTGCTGTTGAAATAACTTTTGTTGCTATTGCTAAATGCAAAGGTACATCCCTGGGTTTGGTGCTTTTTGTTTTTGCCAAAAACATCAGCTGCTTTAATTGATTGACAATACATGGAGGTTGAAGACAGTTCTAAAAAGCTCTTTTTACTTTTAACTTAAAAAAGAGCAAGTATTAGTGACCATCAGCTGAAGTAAATCTGACACGAGTGCACTCGTCCCCACCCCTGAAAATTTGCTGAAGCACAAGGTAGTGTTATCCTCACTTTCTGCTGAGTTCTACCTTATTGACTATACTGACTTGGGAGAGAAGATAACTGATTACAGAAGCAAAGGATTCTTCATCATTAGAAATAACAGAAAAAGTATATACTTATTATTTTGAGATTTTATGGAGTATTGTATACATCCAAACAAAACTCCAGAATGCTTTAAAAACCTGAGCTTCAAAACAGCCTAAAAAGCCATTGAAATAAATTCTGACAAATTAGAAGAACCACTCTGGCAATCATGCTTGTCAGCCTAAAAAGCCATTGAAATAAATTATTTCTGACAAATTATAAGAACCACTCTGGCAATGATGCTTGTGTCTTATGATCATCTTTGGTCCAGTTTCTACCGCTATCTAATGCAAACTGACAATCAGATCTCTGCTATGAATGTAAATTGAAGCAAATAAATAGTTTAATGTCTATGGTTTTCCTAACTTAACTGGATTTATGGAGTAATGGCACTTAAAGCAGGAGGAACAGAAATCTGTAGAAGTCTGTAATGACTTCCCTCACACTTTTTGCTTATTTTCAGATCTTCCTCATCACTAGAATACAACATATCCATACAGACTCAGCAGAGTGTGATTTTTCTTTCCCAGCAGAAGTAAGCCCATAATCTCTAATCTAAATTCTTGTCACTAGCTCTTCTGGAGTTATAACCAATATTTAGAAGAAAACCACATTCTGTATTTCTCAGCTGTTCTCTCCCCAAACCAAGATGCTTCTAGATAAAAAAAGGTTCAATTTCTAAATGAAAATCCAATTTAGTATTTTGGCCCGTATCTTACAAACAGGTAAAAACTGTAATTACAGAAAATGCTGTAAGTATGGAGAAAAGAAAGACAGAGAGGGAACACAAAGCAGCAATAATATCTAACCAAAAGACCTATTAAAAACTTCAGCCAAGTCTCTATAAATTGCCCCATACACTTCTCAGTGGCACCTTCAGTTGTCCCTCTAGTCCAGTCCCACATCCTTAGTAACTACAGTGAAGTCACACAGAACTAGACATGCAAATCATTTTGGGGTGGAAGAACAATTACTCATTCCAAGGGTTCCCATGAAGGAGGACCAAAACCACTGAGTATCCCTGTTCCTTATGCCCAGATACTGGAGCCAAGTCAGGAACTCCTGCTGGATACTAGCAGTTCAGGAACCAGATTTTTGGACTGTGTATCAGAGAGACTGGGTGTCAGAAATGCAACCTGCCTCATGAAGCATACAACATACAGAGGAGTCAAGGACATACACGGGTCAACCCAACTCCTTAGTAACTACAGTGAAGTCACACAGAACTAGACATGCAAATCATTTTGGGGTGGAAGAACAATTACTCATTCCAAGGGTTCCCATGAAGGAGGACCAAAACCACTGAGTATCCCTGTTCCTTATGCCCAGATACTGGAGCCAAGTCAGGAACTCCTGCTGGATACTAGCAGTTCAGGAACCAGATTTTTGGACTGTGTATCAGAGAGACACAGAATCTCACAGAATGGCTGTCAGAAACGCAACCTGCCTCTTGAAGCATACAAGGTACAGAGGAGTCAAGGACATATACGGGTCAATATCTCATTAAGGTGTTTACCCTGAAAGTATGTTTACACACTCACAAAAAAAAAATCACACTGGGATCACTCACTGGTTTGAGGATGTTTCAGATGCACAA